ATAAGAAAAAAGTAAACCCAGGTCAAGGTGTGTAGGAGAGTCTGGTAGCTACAGCTGGTAAAATCTGCAAGTGGAGGATTCGTCTTCTAGAGCGTGTTCGAATGTAGAAAAGACCTTTGTGCATTTCATCGTTGTAAACAGCATAACACAACAACCTAGCAAACGTTTAAATGTAGCTATCTTAAGATATGGTGTGCTTAGGCTCTTTAATAACTTTTAAATCTCACACATCTCTAGTACATGCTGTTCTTTCGGCATTTTTGAGTTTAGGAGCGAAATCACCTAAAATGGATAAGGCACGGCTTTACCACCAAAGATGAGCTTGGTCAGGGTGACCAGGTAAACGGTTTTTCCCTCTATAACACAGGAAGGCATTTGGGTATACTGTTTGCCTGTCCATAAAATAGGTCTAGTCAGTAGACTTACATTTTACTATATGATTTTATCTAAAATTTTGCCCCAGGAAAACTTAGGTATTACCGCCACCTGCACACATTTCTTTCTAGTCCTTTCTAGGAATGTATGTTTAAAATTTAATTTAACCTTAGAAACACCCCCATATGTGACCATAATTTCCAGATACAGTGAGACATTAACAAGCAAAGATCCAATTTAGCAAAAGATCAGTGTCCCAACTGGGAAACAGAAACTTCAAATATAGCATACCCTCTGCCTTCTTCCTTGCATACATAAACAATTTGTTCTCCTGTGTAAATATACCAAAAGATAGAACAGAAAATTCAAAAATATGCTCACTACTCAAGTGTGTATTTCTGACATTTCTGAATTTATTTCCTCTGAATGAGTATTGAAATTCATACTGGTAGTTTGATGAGTTTGACTAGCCTCGTTTAGTGTGGTTTTAACACCAAGATTTAAGGCATAAAGAAAAGGAGCTCATGAACCACAAATGACATAAGAGGCACTAGTGCATGAAGGAAAAAAAATCACACCTGCACAGAGATTTTAAAAAAAAGGAACTGGAGAGGAAAAGAAACCAGGACTTCTTCAAAATGAGGTGTCTCCTGTGGGCTATTCTCAGTCCTATATTATAGGCTGTTTGTTCATTTTAGAATGCAAATAAAATTTCTATCTTTTCACTGAATCACTATATTATATTCTCATAAAAGTAGATGAAATCAACTTTGATAACTATGTAAGTTTAAAAAGCTAAAGCTCTCTAATCTGTTCTTAGAAATGACGATCAGATCATATATGTAAACAAAAAAGTGCAATATATTGTAAGTATATATTTACATGAAATATAATGTATATGCACAGTCATACTGTAATAATTCTACCTAATAAACCTGAAAAGGAAAAAAGAAAAGAAAAGAAAAATAAGTAGATGAAATCAGATTGTCACTATCAAAAAATTTCTAATTTGTAAGACAAAAATATTGATGAACCAAGCCAAGGTAGAATCCAGTCTGCACTGCCCCCTCTTTTCCTGCATCACCATTTACATCATATATTTGGATGCACCACCCAAGCTTTTGCTGCCGCATCTGAATTAATTCTAACGTTGAAACCCAAATAACCTAAATATCTCTGAAGCTTCAGAAATTGCCAGGGGACCATCTAGGTAAACCTCATTAGGCTTCCTAGTCTTGACTCAATAGGAGATACCTAAGTCTTCTCTTGCTGGATCCTAAAAAGATTAGACTAACACGTGGCATACAATTAAAAATGAGATAATTGATATAAAGTGCCAGTCTGAGGGCCTGACCTAGTGTAAGTTTCAACAGTTGGTAGCTGCCAATTCCTGCTGCCTCTGTTGCTAGACAAAGTCACTGAGAAGTTGTCAAGCCTGAGTTTCAGCTTGTCCCCATCCTGCCTTGAAGTAGCTGCATTAAGTGACTCCTAAGACATTTTCTACTTTCTGCCCTCATTTCAAATCTGGGGCATGTAATCCTATTGATTTTGTGTCTAATAAGAAAGAAATGGCTAGTTTGAAGATTTAAAATTTCTGAAATTTTTATCATCATTTTAAAAATTTCTGAAATTTTACACATTTCTGGAATTATTATCATCATTATTGTAAATAATAAATTCCACTTAAAGAATCTCCCTTTAGAGAGTGGCCCACATTTGACTCCCATGCTTTGACGGTCCTCACTGTCCATGGAATTGATGACATGCCTCTAAAGCTGAATCTCTTAGGTTAAATGGCAAAATGTGATGTATCTGTAGAAAACATTTAAGTAGAAAAACAACCAACAGTAGACAGAAGTGATACGAAGATGAAAGGTAAAAGATAATCCTGGGATCTTTCTGAGAAAGCCATTGCTCCCTGAAAGGGAAGTGTTATTGAAAAAAGCCTGTAAAATTAAAATAATCCACTCTTGTGCTCCCAAGCAATATTTACATTAGAAACAGATTGTAAGTTCCTTGCACAAATGGCATTTATGATTTCTGTGGTAATAGCAGAAAACAGCCTCAGTCTCTGCCCCTCCAGTGCCCATCAGATCCATTTCAGGGCCAGTTCCTTTCCTGACGCTAAGCAGAATCTCAGACAGGTCATTCTACTTTCTGCTGCCTTTCAAAAGAAAAAAAATTTAAAGCCCTCTGGTCATGTTTCGTCCCACAGAAAGGCTCAGTTCTGGAGTACTCTGCCTAGTTCACTTTGAACTTCATTTAAACTAAAGCTTCTTTCCTCTCACACTAACATGTCCAAACCCTAAGGTTGGGAAAAGGGGTCCAGGTTGTTTCTGTTTTCTGTCGCCAGCTTCTCCCGGCCTCTCCCCACCCCCCCACACCCACCTCTTTCCCTCGCAGTGGAACAGCCTGCTTCTGTCTCCTCCAGGGTTGAAACTTGTAGGACAGGAGTTAATGAGCCGGGAAATGTCTTGCCTCTTTTGGCTGAGAGGTATTTAAAACTGATTCTCTTCCATGGCCACGTTCCAGGGTCTTGGGAGATCCCACCTTTCATTCACCATCCCTCACCTGTAGTGTCCTTGGCAGGATAAATGCACCTCCTCTTTCAAATTTAGAGGCACCACATACATTTTTAGCCTCTTTCTACTGAGGTCGCATCATCTCTCCATAAAATTCAATCAGTTCAGATCTAAGACAGCCCCAAACCAGCTCTGGTGGACCCACCATTGACTAGGACCGCTCTTTTTTAAAGGTAACTCTCTCTCCTTTCCACCTCCTGGCATGCGGATACACCCACAGACTTTTGACTTGTAAGTTTCTTAAGCACACCTCTCCCCTGTGTCCTCCAAACTGTAGAGGACAAATATAAAGCACTGTGAGCAGACTTCTTAAAGTCTTGCTCACTAGGCTTGAGGTCAGGAGAAAGACTGCCCCACCCTGCCCTAAAACTGAAAAAGGTGGTAGGCACCTGCTACAGGAGATGCTAAAAACTTCTGTAACACTAGCGGGGTTAAGACAACACATCGTAAGCAAAAGCAAAAAACAAACAAACAAACAAACAAGCAAAACGGGCAAACAGGTCACTGATACAAAACGGAGTCCACTAGTGGATCCAGTAAAAATGAAAATGTAATATATGGTAAATATTTGAATAATAGTTCACCAGGAAAAATAGAGCTTATTTAATAAATGATATTAACATTATAATTAAATCTCCACCTGGGAAGGAAACTAGCTCTGCCTAATATCATGTTTTATAGAAAAAGAGCAATGGTTTAAAGAGTTTAATGTAAAATATGTCTATATATTTGAAAAATATTAGGGTCAGGAAAAACTTCTTCAAAAAGACAAACAAACAAACAAAACCAACAAGAAACTGTACTAAAAAAATTTGCAGAGTTGATGTCATCATAAATCACACAAAGGCAAAAAAAAAATACCATAAATAGATTTAAAAAAAAAGGAGAGTGAAAGATGGAAAAAATGTTTGAAATATATATGAGGCAGGAGTTTATATCTCTATATAGCCCTGTAAAAAAAAAAAAAGAGCTCCTACAAATTGATAAGAGAAAAACAAACATGAGTATGTACTAGGGTCTGCAAAAGAAGAAATGCAAATAGACAAAAAAGTTTACAAAAGCTTTTTACAAAAGAGGCTAAGTCTCACTAGTAGCCAAGGAAATGGAATTCAAAACAGCACAATACCCTCATTTTTGTTCATATAGAAATTAATAGGAATTGAAAGATTCACAGCATTCAATGGAATGGGGTAGAGAACTAGTAGGGTTGTGAACTGCAGTACACATCGTTTCTGTATTTTCACTTTTGGAAATCTATTCTAAAGAAATAGACATACTTCTTTCTACAAAAACAATAGACTATGAGTGATCGTGATATATGTGCTGACCTAGAGGAATATCCACAGGGCACAGTTAAATGAATACAACAAGTCAAGTCGTGCCTATGATGATGACCCCATTCATGTGAATCAAAGTAAGGGGAGCACATGCATCCATATGGGTGTAACTGTACATGTTCTCTATATTTTTTACATGAGCACAGAAAGACGCAGAAACGATATGCGTCAAGTTGACTTTGTCTTTGTGTTATTTGGCTTTAAAAAAAATAACTTTCTTATTTTTGAATTTTGAAAGAAAACTCCAATGAAGTGTGTGTGTATATAGACAGCTAACCCTCTAGGATTTGGGGGGGAGGGAGAGAAGGATGTGGAGAACATGGGGCTTGATGAGAACCAGAAGGATGGACTTGGAGGAACTGGATAAACCAAGAGGGGCTTTTCAGGCCAGGGACGAAGCAGGAGGAAAAAATTATCTGGATCATTTAGACTCACTTCAAATATTCCAAACCACTGGTAACTACATTTGTGGGGAAAAAAATCAAAGTATATAACCATATATTTGTCAGTGAACAAGCAATAGTATTACAATTACATGATCCTGTAGCTAATAGAATTGTTATCCTTATCAGGAAATTATAGACAAGGAAATTACAAAACCCAAGGAGTCTTCTTTCTCAGAGTATTAAATCTACCTAAATTTTTTTCCAGACAGAAGTGACTGAATTGCAACCCACAGCGACCCGAATAAATGAACTCCTGTTACCTTAGCATTCGCCATCAACTTCATTCATTGCTGCTTCTACAAGGTAAGATCATCAGATTTTTTAAAAAACCAGTATGAATAAAGCTCTGCACACGTGTGAGCTGGACCTTCTTGCTCCTCAGAGAATCTAAGTTGTAAATAAAGGGACCTTTGTTTACATAAGTTTTAATCCTGTGATAAAGTTTCTTGGGCTCTGAGGGTTGCATAAAACAGGTTACAGAAAAGATCAGTCACTTAGAACCAGAGGCTCCTCCTTACTGCTTTGTTTTGTTTCTCTTAACGGTTAACCCTTATGTGGCCACGGCTCTGAGTCTAACATTGTGTTCAGTGACTACAGAAAAACTCAGTTAATGAACTAATGTGACAACTTGCTGATCCTCAGTTTTCTCAGTTTTTCCTTTTGTGCTTTAACAAGTCTTTTGCAAATCAAAGACTCACTGATATACTCATTCAGTAAGCGAAGATGCCTATATACTGAGCTTGAGTTCAGTTTCCTGTGTGGCTGCATAACATGAGAAGAGATGATACTAATACAGTAAAACTGAGGCGTGGGAGGTTGGCCGTGTCCCAAGTCTGGGACGAGCCCCGTGGACGTACCCATCAAGTGAGTGTCCTTGGCTTTGCTTAGGAAAGAATTCAAGAGCGAGCCACAGGAGAGTAAAGGTAGATTTATTCAGAAGATACATACTCCATAGACAGAGTGCAGGCCATCTCGGAAGGCAAGAGAAAAGGCCACGAGGTGCGGGGTTAGTTTTTATGGACTAGGCAATTTCATATGCTAACAAGTGGGAGGAGCATTCCAAGTACTTTGGGGAAGGGACTGGGATTCTCAGGAATTGGGCCATCACCTACTTTCTGACCTTTTATGGTCAGCCTCAGAACCTTCATGGCACCTGTGAGAGTACCATTTCGCATGCTATTGTATTTCAATGAGGTCTTGAAACTGAGGGTCTACTAGGAGTTGAATCTTCTGCCATCTTGGTGCTAAATGCTGTGTCATTCTTTTAATGGCTGTGCCCTGCCTCCTTCCCTCCCATCTCAATACCAAAATAGAAGTTAACTTGGAAGCACAGAGTTGCTGGAGACAGGAACATTCATTTCTATAGGGTGCCACCAACAGTTTCAAACAGTAGACTGGTGTGAGAAAACCAACGTTTACCAGTTATTCTATCCGTGACTTGCTAGCTGGATTAGACGAGTGAAATATTAGGCACTGTGAGGTGGTCATATCCAGGTGGAATTTGGGATGAAGAGCAAAGCATAGTCTGGATTGATCCATTAAAGAGGGAAATGTAATATGAATGCTTCGGAATGCTTAAAAGCACCAGCCGGACCCAGCTCTGGCACTGATGAGTTGTGATCTTGGATGCAACTGACCGTTAGCTTCAGTTTTTCCATCTATGCCATGGGATAATTACAGCACCTACCCCAAAGAATTGCTGTGATGAGAGTTATTTCATTCAACAAACATTTGTTGAGTGCCTATGCTATGCCAAATACTATTCTAGATTCTGAGGATATAATAATAAACAAAGTAGTTTAGATTTCTACTTCACTGACTTTGTTAGTTCTGATTAAAGGAAGGAAGAAAATAAACAAGTTATTCTCAGTGAAGTAAGCCAGAAAGAGGAAGAAAAATACCATATGATATCACTTATACGTGGAATCTTGAAAAAAAAAAGACAAAAAACTTACTTACAAAACAGAAATGGACTTAAAGACCTAGAAAACAAACTTATGGTTACGGGATAGTGGTGGGGAATGGGGTGGGAAGGGATAAATTGGGAGTTTGAGATTCGCAGATACTAATATATATAGAATAGATAAACAACAGATTTATACTGTATAGCACAGGGAACCATATTCAATATCTTTTAGTAAGTTATGGTGAAAAAGAATATGAAAAGAAATATATGTATGTTCCTCTGTGACTGAAGCACTGTGCTGTACACCAGAAATTGACACAACATTGTAAACTGACTATACTTCCATAAAAATTTATTTTAAAAAAAGAAACTCTTTTCCCTTCACTCAGCCTATTTAATAAATAAATTTCAAAAGGTGTAAAGTGTGTGTGTGTGTGTGTGTTTGTGTGTGTACTTAATGATCAAATAAATTAGAACATTTTTTTTCTACCCAAATAATATTTAGTAATTCTCAGATATAACTTGTCCTGCTCCTCAGCCTCTGGGGGTGAGATTTCGGTCTTTGCTTTCAACTGTTTAAATAATTTGAGGAAGGTGGGACAGAAAAGAATGTCTGCCCTCCTGCAGCTCTGTGGACAAAATCTGGGAACTGCTTCAAAAGTAGGGGGTGGAGGGTTTCCGGGTCGGGGGCAGGGCAGGGGTGGGACGTGTTCTGATCTCACCTATCACTTCCTGCAGGGTGGAAATGGAAATTTCAACTTTCATTTCTCTTAAGAAGCCCCAAGAGGCAGGGTTGTTTTCTGTTCTCTGGTAATAATGAGAGTCAATGTTTGTTGATTGTTCCTTATGCTACGGGTCATTCTCAGAAGTGTATTAAGTCCTTTGATCTTCTCAACAAATTCACCAGGACATGGGGCACAGGCAGGTCTCAATGCCCTCAGATCGCCCAGCTGGTGAACAGAAGGGGAGGAGTTTAAACCCTAGCAGCTCAACTTCATAACAGTGCCCTGCACTGCCTCTCCACAGTTGAAATTAAGTTAGCAAATAGGTGGGAAAGAGCATTCAAATAACTCTGTGGAGAATTGCAGGTTCTTTTCCCTCTTTATGTTGCAATAGGTGTGTGTTATCTCTTGGAATGTTCAACGCCTTGGAGAACCATACTTCTGAAAATATATGATAGTTTAAATATCTTAACTTCGTTTAAGAGAAAACGTAATGACATTGCCAACATCCCAAAACACCCCTACCCCTGCCTGAGCCACCACCCACCCCCATTCCCAGCCCACCTCCCACCCCAACTTCTCCATCTTCCGGCAGGATCATTCAAAGTTTCATGAAACCATGTAACAAGGTAATTTCTGGAAGCTGGAAGAGCTGAGAAGAGAAATAAACAGGGGTGGGATAGAGAGTGCCGGGGGCTGGGGGAGGCGGTCTGTGTTTGGGGAGATTGTCTGGGAAGGCCCCTGAAGGGCTAATACTTGAGTTTAAATTCAGAGGACCAGACAGCAACTGTGTGAAGACAGAGCCGTCCAGGCCCACGAGAAGGGCAATACAGAAGCCCTAGGCTGGAAGACAACAAGCCTGGGGTACTTGAAGGCTGACGAGGAGTTTGGTGTCCAGGCTGAGCTACAAGCACTGCAGAGCGAAGTGGGCCAGGTGGGGCTGGGGCGCTGAGGGCCTGTGGGCCGAGGCGTTGGGATTGTACTCTGTCGGAAATGGGAAACCACTGGGGCAGTGACATGACTGGATCAAAGGTGTGTTTTTAAAAAATCAATCTGACTGCTGCGTAGAGAAATGGCTGGGCACAGGGAGCAAGAGGAGAGCCGGGAAGCTATTGCCACCGTGGGTAAGGGTGGGGGCCCTGGAGGGACCTGCACATGTTCGGGATGTTTGGGAGATGACCTGAAGGACACACTGAGGGAGGCGTTCTAGGAGCCTTTCCAAGAAAGGAAATGTTTAGAAAATTCTATGGCCAGTCCCTCACAAGGACTCCCAGTAGCTAAGCCATGAGATTATTTCCTCTAGGATCTTAGCTAGTCTGATAAATTTTTAAACGGAGTAATTATCCCCTAACTTAGATGCTCCTGCTCAACATATACAAAAATAATTTATTGTACAACAAATGGACTTAATAACCATAGGGAGAGGGGTTTTAAAACACTAATCATTACCCCTTGGTTATAAACAACACACTCTTCTTTTGCTTATCTCTATCAGCCACCTTTTTGTATTCAAAAGCAGTGTCTCTTCTTTGAAAAAATATCTCCCCAAGGTCATTATCCCTCCCTCAGCCGCAGGGAAACACAGAGTCCTCTGTGCTGTTGCCGTCACCCTGGCTCTGCTCCCAATATTTAATGTGATTTCTTAACTTCCTGTATGATCTTTCCGCATGACATGTTGTACCCAAAGACCTGTGTGCGGTCTCCTCTGCACTGGGCTGGGGAGTCCACCAGAGACCCTAACTTGTTCACTAAGCAAGTTGCCAGTTCCCTTCTCTGCAGATGAAAGGCCAGTGTTGTCTGTATCATCTTGAAGACACTGGTCCTGTAAGTTGCCAAATGAAATCTCTAAGCAGGCACAGGAGGCAGGAAAGCAGGCAATGAAGATGTTTGGCTACCTTTTCATTGTGGGCTTTGTTTTTCTTTTTTATAGACAAGATAGAGCTCTGTCATTGCAAAAAGTGAGCTTGTTACCCACTCTGAAAAATAGGGTGAAAAAAAAAAAAAACACATCCAAAGATTTTCAAAGATCCCCAAAGTTCTCCTACAACCGTTTCTGCATGACTGGCAGAATAAAGCTTACTTTTATTGTCAAACAGCTTCACACTGATAAACACACAGGCGGTGGCAGTGTAGCTCAGCCCAAGAAAGGCAATGATCAGTCTCAGCCCCTAAAGAAAACTGAGAAGGCTCCTTTAAACTCTATAAAGTAGAGCTTACTTTCTTTCAAATCCTCATTTCAAATTCGCAACTCTGGAGAGAGTGTTATTTGATAATAATTGTAGTGCAAAGATTTCTGTAGTGTGGATCATAGAGCTCTGTTTCTTCTCACATTGGAAGATGGGGCAGCTGGTGGGAGATAACTCATTAGACCCTAAGCTCTGGCCTAAAGACCATCTTACCACGCAGGCGAGCATGCTGTGTTGATGATCGCCAACCGTAAGATAAAGAGGCTAATCAATGGATGCATAGGATAGAACAAAGGTTGGCCTCTTTTACACTGTTCGTGGGAATTGGTGTAGCCACTGTGGAAAACAGTATGGAGGTGTCCCAAAAAACTAAAAATAGAACTACCACATGACCCAGCAATTCCACTCCTGGGTAAAAATCCAAAAAAAAAAAAGAAAAAAAAGAAAAAAAAAAAGAAAAAGCCCTAATTCAAAAAGATACATGCACCTCAGTGTTCATAGCAGTATTATTTACAATTGCCAAGCTATGGAAGCAACCTAAGTGTCCATCAATAGATGAATGGAAT